TGGTGACACACGTCCTAGGGCGTGTGGCCTCAGTACTTGTGGCACACAGACTTAGTTTCTCTGAGGTATGTGGGATCCTCCCGAAACCAGGGATCGAACCCATGTCCCCTGCATTGGCAGGCAGATTCTTAACCACCAGACCACCAGGGAAGCCCCAGTCCTTAGTTTTCATGTCAGAAAAGATCCCCCAAGCAGTACTCACTAATATTTATATTGCCTTACTCAAAAGATGCTTTCACAGAACACATAAAGTGTATCATTGCTCCTGAGCCAGTCACTGAGGGGCCTTGGCTTATTGGAAAGGCTGTGGTCTTGGGTTTACACTGCCCGGGGGCTCACTGGACTGTTGTCCATTGCGTCATCTCAGCATATTACCAGCCCTCTCTGAAATCACACCTGAGTTTTGTAAAGCACCAGGTGCAAAGTCTGGCAGTCTAGGTGTTTAGTAAGAAGTGTGATCATAATTATAAATTTTTTTCAGACTAGTGTCTTAAACCTTTTCTCCTGAGATGTTTGATTCAAGGTGAGGTAGCAGAAAGTCGCTGCCAGCCACTTCCTACAGGGATGTCCGTGATGGCAGAGGAGTCTGTCTTGAGCTCCTGTGCTTTGAGACGCCCACTCTGCGAAGCCTAGTGATCTGGTAATTTCTGGTCATCACCACCTCCATATGTCTGCTGACACACATCTGTTCTTTGTAGTGTTTAATTTTCTAAGTACTGTTTACATGTAGGTAATTCTTTAAATTATCCCAGGCCTTCAAATGTTAAAGGGAGGCTTTATTTGAAAAACCAACCAAACAAGTGACTGATGATGACATAATGGGCATGGAAGGAATGCTGTCCCAGAGGGCATAGCCCTGCCATGATCTTTTACCCTTGAGCTGCCAAGGGAGCTTGCCAGCATTCCTAAGGGTCTCCTCAAAGTCCAATCCCTTAAACCTCCGAGGCTGGTGGCGCGTCACTTATTCTCTGGACACTTCTACTGGTAGATTAATGGAAGAAACAAAATCTTCGGTCTTGTGAAAAGCCAAGCTCAAAGTGACGGAGTGCCACATTCAGGGTCATATCCTGCTTTATGCCAGGAGTAAGAATGCTTTCTATAAAGAATTGGAACATCTCTAAGTGTGTATTCCACCTCAAGAAATTCTGTCAAGATAAACAGAAAATGAGAACATTTGGACCAGACAGAAAAGTCAAACTAGAGAAATGACTGAAGAGTGAGTCAAAGTGCTTAAAAGCTCAGAAGAACTCTTTAGTGACCAAAGTATCTTTTAAAATGAGTAGTAAGAGCTCTAATGCCCAGGGAAAATAGGCTCCAAGTAAAGACACTGGCATACCACCCAAGGTGACAGGACATGAGGAAGAATGCCCTACTTCCGTCCTGCACGGGAAGAATGGCCTCTGAGCTGTTGACTTCCCTTGGCTTCAGGAGAATCTTAACTTTTTTTTTTAATTCTCTTTTGTCAAACAAATGGCTTGCCTTGGTTTATTAGCACTTTTCTTCATAGAATGAAACAATGAATACAGCATTCCTTGTGGTCCTAGGTCAAAAACCACATGACCCATACCAGTATGGCCTCTGGCATTCTTCTGACACAATATGGTCTTGAGTGTTATACTGCAGACTGTCCATTCTGTTTTTAAATTAGCATTTCAGGGCCCAGTGGTCCAATGTGGGGAAAAAAATCCATAACTTCCTGGTTTTACCTCTCCTTTAGGTGCAGCCGATTTCAGTCAGAAATCAAACGCTTGAAAATATCCTCCCCAGTACGTGTCTGTCAGAACTGTTACTACAACTTACAGCATGAGAGGAGTTCAGAAGACGGGCCTCGGAACTGTTGAAGATTCAGCAAGCTGATTGGAGACCACGGTCTGGAGACCCCGCTTCCCGCCTCCCCCGTCACAGCTCGCAGCTCGGAAGGCATCGAAACAGTCTCCGTTTACACATCTCTTCACACCGCGCGTCTGAAGTGTGGGATTCAGAGGGAACACTGACTGAACGGGTGTCAAGTACAGTCGTGGGGCAGACACTGCAGGTGAGCAGCACAAGAATACGAGGTGGTTCCCAGAAGCAACATCTCAATATCCGACTCTCCCTTAACAATCGCTGTCTCCAAGAGAAAATCCTCACGTGTTAACTGTTCTTTTCTTGCGTCTCGTTTTTATAGAGCTACTCATCCTCAATTGGAAAAATCAACGACTACAAAAAAAAAAAAAGGCTTTTAGAAAATGGTTGTAAATCTGACTTCTTTGCAAGTAACTGTGTATATTGTAAATAGGTACAAAGGCCTTTTTTTCTAAATAAGGACTTAACAGACTGTAACATGAGACTTCCAACTAAACCACTAATTCAATGAAATGCTTATGGTTTGTCTGACATCCCTCACCAATTAATTATAAATATGTTTTTTTTTTAAATCCTCAAAGACATTATCTGTGGTCTTTTTTCCTTCCCCCTTGCAAGCCCAGCCCGTGTGCCCGATGTCCTTTCTCTCAAGTTGCCCACGGTATCTCCACTTAACCTAAGCTAGTAACCAAAACAATGTCATGTGGACCTTCTTTAGGAAACAGTGTGGGAGAATAGGAGTCTGACCCTGAGATACCCTGGCAGTCTTTGGGCATCTTGCACATGGCTGCACACCACCTCGGTGTTGTTCTGATGTCATAAGGCCCCACGTAGACTTCTCTTTGGACTGCCCTGTGGTCAAAGCATCCGTTCTTAGCACTGCGCCCTGGTGGTCGGGCAATCCACGCAGTGCAGGAAACAGCCCTGCCTCAACTAATGGAAATATATTTGCATGTAACCCAAATTAGCTTCTCTTGCATAGAACATAAGAAGTATGTGTCTTTGGTGACACTAATGTTCTACTATAGCTTATTTTCCCAAAAAAAGGGTTAAAACAAAAGAAAAAAGTGTACAGAATTAACATGTAAACCTTGATGTAAAACTGGATCATGTCAGAACTGCTTATAATTAACCTTTACCATTTAATGCCATCTACCTGAAAACAGTGAGATTTATACTGTATCAATGTCTATTTTTTTGTTTTTGCTATGAATATAATTACAGTATTTTAATATTTAGTTATTTAATTTGTTCTACTAGTTGGATACAGAACACACAAATCCAGGGAGACTAAAGCTGGTGGGGGCGAAGAGATAAGTTTCGTTTACAGAAGAAAAAAGGCTTTGGTGGTGGGATTTTTTAAAATGTGTGTTATGTACATATATAAATATATATATAAAACAAATGAAACGATTAATCTAGATTTTAACATTTTCAGATATTTAGTGATAATATTATGAACAAATCTAAAAGCCCTGTGATTTGAAAAACATAGAAGCATTTATGGCCCAGGAAAGGAAGGACAGGCCTTCACACCTCTCGGAGTATCATACGAAGGACAGCGGCTTTGGCATTCCCGATTTTTCATCTTTACACCCTGGTGACAGGCACACTTATGCACTAAAATGCACATATATGCACATGCATTCAAGCATAGGCATTGGTACAACAGTTACCTTGTACCTAATGGGCTGAAACCAGCTTAAGAACAAATTTGTTCTTCCTGATAACTAGGTCTCCAAGAGAAAAATATAAAGGCTGCTTTAGTGCCTTATGCTTACTAAATTTACACCTTTATTTACCTAGGTTTGAGCCTACTGTCTATTTATGATTACATATCAAAATTGAGGAAAACACTTCCATTTCTAAAAGTTCAAATATACTTGTTAATAAAAGGATTATTGGCATTAATACTTTAACTTGAAGAAAAGTTGTGTTCTGTTTTCCTTCCTGTGTCTCCCTCTCTCCCATCTTCCTCCCTCCCCGACCCCCGCCCCCAACCTTCTTATTTCAATTCTAATAAATAATGCTGGGTGTTCAACAGTTGCAGGACTTGTGCTCTCACCTAGCCGCGGGCTTTGCCCCTGTCCGGACCTAGAGATGAGTTGTAGCAGTGTTATTCTACGCTTTTTAAAAGAGGCGTCCTCCTTGTGTCCGCGAACCATGTTTACCCCAAACCCAATGGCAGAGATGTTCTTTAAAGACTTGAATATATGAATGTCTGTACGTAGTTACTTAAAGGTTATTCCTCTATGTAATATGAAGTTATATGAGATGAACACTTTTAAACTTTCCGACACAACTTCCATAACTAGAAGGTGGAAACCAAAACCCTCATGATAGTATTTCCTCTGGCAGCTGGTGCTGTGGGCAACCGTTTTGTTGAGTGGGGTTTCTTTTCCTTTTTGCTTTTAATGCAGAAATCACAAATCACTCACACACCCAAGTACACTCACTCACATAAACTAATCATTTCTCTGGATGTCTTTCTGTGTCCCACATACATTGTTTACCAACATATATTCTCAGCATGTACATCCACATTTGTGTGGTCCATGTCCTTTCTCTGAGTACCTCACAGGGCTTCTGCCTCACCTTTGTAGTGGTTTGTCCATCCATCCATTCATCCATCCGTGTTTTCTAACATTTGTGTGTAGTGTGGCATGGCAATGTCATGCTTTTGAAGAGGAGACTAGCTGCCCACAGCAGCCATCCGTCTGGATAATAGCAAAACACTCTAGATAAGTTATTTTGCACTTTCTTATGTACAAAGTTGGTAGAAACTTATTTTTGCTTTGTATCATTTAAATACATTTTGTTTGGGTAAATGAACTGTGTATAAAATATTTATGCCATTAAACCTGTTTTTAGAAAGTATTTTTAATTTCAGCAAGTTTGGTTACTTGTTGCATGATTATTAACACAGCTGACTTTTTGTGTCAGTGCAATGTATATTTTTTTGTCCTGTTATTAACTTGTAAGCCCTAGTAATGGCCGATTATTTGTACAGCAACAGAAGTAAATTGAAGATACTGGCTAAGACTGGATTGACTGTGGACTTTTGTACTATATTGCAGAATCCAATATCTGTTCTTTGGTGGTTATGTAAAAGGCCTGAAGAATTACTATCTTAGTGTGCAATCTGTGATAACTGAATGTTCATTGTATATCTGTCTCTGATGCAAAAAGGTAGAGTAACACAATTACAATACATGATTAAATGCAGTAGTCCAGATACTTTTTTTTTTCCATTTCAGATAAATACCTCCTATTTACCACCCCCAGGAAAAAAAGAAAAAGTTTTAAAGCCAGCTCTTCAGAGAAGGAAAAACAAAATTGAGGTCCAATAAAACTTTTGTGTAGTTCTTTTCTAGTTGTGAATATAACTTTCAGAAGCGCCTGCTTAAAGTCTCTGCTTGCAGATGTGTTGGCTGCTAGGATCTGGCTCCAGTTCTAGTGCAATCCACATTTTAAAACCAGGCTTTCCGCATCCTGAGTTTCCCAGTGATGCTGGACTCCCGGGGCTAACTGTGTGCACAACCGCAGGGAGAGACAAGTGGCTCTTGGGAGACATGACCTTCAGACTTGAATGAACCTCTGGAAAAGTACTACATTTAATGGTTTCGGCTCCTTTTCCCTGAGCTTTTTCTCTTATCCATCATATTGTGAAATGTAAACAATGATAAATTATATCTCTGTCTATCTCCAGCCCCTGCTCTAGTCACATCAGGAATATTCTGGTGTCCTGCCCTGTTTCCGGAAGCACGGCACCCTCTGTCATCAGCCAGACTTTCCATTTTGGCCTTTGATCTGGAAGTGTTAGCAACTCACATCTGTTTTTATAGTTACTAGCTTATTTGGTTTGAAAACTGACTTCCCAGAAAGGGGGAATGTAGAAAACACTTAAGTTTATTTAGGCTGCTTTAATGTCTTCTTTCTAAATATACTAACAAAATTTCCATTTCATCTTAAGTATAAATAGTAGAGTCCTATATTTGAGGATATTGTGCTTATTACAAACCCCCCCCCCCCCCGCCCCCTGCCACCCAGTACAACTCCACTGTAGAGCCAGAAAATATAGGAATGCTAAGAATTTCCAAGACAATAGATATTTCTTCAAAAATAGATCAGTGATAAGAGAAAACCCAGAGCAGTTCTCATTGTTTTAATGTAGTACCATTCATAATTCTAATGACTTCAAGAAGAGCTGCTGTCAGGGACAGACTTGCAAAAATTTTTTTCAGAGTTTAAAGGAAAATGGGCAAATGATCTTCAGGAAGTCCCATGTCTGCCTTTTGATTCTCCAGTAAAATTTCTTCTTCACCCCTCATTTCAAGCCCATTTGGAGTGTTGAAGAAGCAGAGGTGGAATTGCTTTAGCACTGGCTTTTTCTTGCTTTAACAATATTCTCATTTTCCCCCACCCTTTGCAAAGTTCCTTTTTCATTTACATGTTGTTCTTTTGACTCTTGCTAGAAGTGGCACCAAGCTCAGCTGCTGGATTCAGAGACAGTGCGATGCTGGGGAAGCCTCGGCTCGGGCTCCGGAGACGGAGACTTCCAGAAGCCCACGTTCAACCCCTCTTGGCGCACCAGGTTTTCTTGTGTCAACATTGACTGTGACCATGGGATGAGTCTAAAGTAGGGCTTTTCCAACTCTCTGGTCTCAGACTATTTTGATCCTTAAAACTATCACTTTTGTTTGTGTGAGCTGCCTCTTTTAGTAGGCATGGTATTAGAGGTCAAAACTGAGATTTCAAAAGCATGTATATTAATTTACTTAGAAATAGCAATGATGAAACTATTATGTAGTAACATCAATTACATACCTCTATGAAAAGAAAAAAACTTTTACAAACCATGAGAGGAAAAAAATTAGTAACGACTGGAATGGCTTTACAGTTTCGCAAACCTCTTTTCATGTCTGCCTTAATTGAACACAGGTGGATTCTCACATTTTCTTCTACGTTCAGTCTCTCGTGATTCTTCATGTTGGTTGAAGCATGAGGGAAATCCAGCCTCACACAGGTATGTGGTTAAAAGGGGGCGGGGAGGGGTATTTTAATAGCCTTTTCAAGTCATTGTTTCTGAATAACTTTTAAGTTTCTTAAAGATTGATTGCTTTATGGTATTTGAAACTATTGGGTTAGTCAGAAGGTTTGGGCTTTTCTATAACATTGTACAGAAAAACCCAAACGGACTTATTGGCCAACCCATTTTATCAGTGAACTTTTTATACTCCATTATTGAAAATCCATTAGTCTGTCTTGTACCTTGAATCGATCTTTTACCCACGCATAATTTTATAGCACTCATTGGCTATTTAGAGGGCTTCCCATTCCCAGGTGGCTCAGTGGTAAAGAATCAGCCTGCTAAGCAGGAGACTCAGACTCCATTCCTGGATCAGGAAGATCCCCTGGAGAAGGAAATGGCAACTCCCTCCAATATTCTTGCCTGGAAAATCCCATGGACCAGAGGAGCCTGGTGGGCTACAGTCTGGGGTCACAAGAGAGTCAGACATGACAAAGCGACTAAACAAAAACAACACTGGCCATTTAGAACTGTTATCACCACTGCTACGGTGTGTGTAGATCTTCCAAGACTCATTTCATTCTATAATATGTCCCCCAAAATCATGTCATACATAATATCAAAACTTCTCCAGCAGTCTCAGGAAATTCTAAGTCAAGCTCACAATAGTGGGTATCACAAGTTTTCCAAAAGTCTTTAAATCTTCCTTAAAAACCTAAAATTTTATCATTGGCACCAGTCACTGTTGTTTCTTTGAAGCAGTAGGCTCACCTTGTTAATTTCAACAACACTGCTGCCCAAGAACTGAGGTCTGTCTACTGCTCTTTCAGGGAGGAAAGATGCTAGGAGAAAAGCCACAAGCCAGCCACAACTCAACGAGAAGTGCTTCTCTTCAAGACGAACCTTGTACCTGATGTACCTGGCACCTTCTGGGTACCTCTCGTTTTGTGTCACATAACTTTAGGTTCAAGGTTTGTTAAGGTTCACTGCTTCTCCAAGGACATTCTTAAGTGAAACAGATACTTTTACTGGGAGTGCTTGACAACGAAGACTATCACAAGTGGCAGTCTGGTGCTGCTGCCCAATTGCATGCTTGAATTCTAGCAGTTTTACTCACCATTGTTTCACATCTGAGTTCGGTACAAATATCAATGCCTTGAAAAAGGCAAACATTTCAGTATTACTATGAAAATAGTCTTCATCTTGCAGACCCCTTGAGAGAGCCTTCAGGACTCCCAGGGGTCTGGAACTCTGAATTGGAGAAGCACTGGTCCAAGGAGAAGACACATGAGGGGCTCCTCAATTTTAAAGCAGCCAGTCTGAAACTGACCTGGGGGCCAGGTTTCTAATCACAGACCCGGGGCTTTCAGCGGGGCTCCCTCTGCAGCCTGCCAAGGGCAAGTGAGACCCCGCCACACTGACCGAGCGCGGGCCACAGCCCTCTGCCAGAAACCGCCTCCCCACTCTGAGCACAGACAGCCCAGGAGTGCGTCACTGCAGTGCTGGAGTTTCTAAGACGGCCTCTCCTAGTCACATTCTTCTAGTCAAGGCTCCAAAATTTTGATCATGTAAAAACACTGTAATCCTTCCTACTGAGTATAGTTCTGCCTAAAATGGTGAGCTGGTCAGGAACTTGACAACTGAGGGTCAGTCTGAGGTTTAAGTTCTCATTCTGCCACTTACTGTGTGACATTAGGCCACTTATCCACATCTCAGCTTCCTCATACGTCAGCTTTGTATTATGATACTTGAGAATTTGTTATAAAGATTAAACTGGGTAATACATATCTTTTCCAACAAGTCGGCTCTTCACATACTTTGGCCACCTGATGCGAGGAGCTGACTCATTGAAAAAGACCCTGATGCTGGGAAGGATTGAGGGCAGGAGGAGAAGGGGGCAACAGAGGATGAGATGGTTGGATGGCATCACTGACTCAATGGATGTAAGTTTGAGCAAGCTCCGGGAGATGGTGAAGGACAGTGAAGCTTGGCGTGTTGTGGTTCATGGGATCACAACTTACAGACTGAACAACAATATAGGTCATGTAGTGCTTGACCAGATGTTCTCAATATAGTATAGCATTAATTTAGAAATGGATTCCCAGGTGACTCAGTGGTAAAGAATCTGCTGGACAATTCAGGATATGCAGATGTGGATTCAATCCCTGGGTTGGGAAAATCCCCTGAAGGAGGAACTGGCAACCCACTCCAGTATTCCTCCCAGGAAAATCCCATGGACAGAGAAAATGGTTAGACTGCATCACCAACTCAAAGGACATGAATTTGAGCAAACTCCAGGAGATGGTGGACAGAGGAGTCTGGTGTGCTACAGTCCATGACGTCGCAAAGAGTCCGACACAACTTAGTGACTGAAGAACAACAACCAAAAAAATTAGAAATATGAATGTAAAAGGAGTGGTGCATTTTCTAAAGCCTAAATATCTAAAGCCACTGACGGCAAGTTCATCTTCAGGCAGATTCACAGCAGGCAGAATGCCAGCTGGGGAAGAGCCCTTAGAAATCATGCAGCCCAAACCTGCATTGAGCACCAAGAAGAAAGGGATTCAGAGAAACCTTTGACATTCCCAATGCCCTATTGCTTATTAAATCTAATTCCCTGCTCTACCCCTAAACTTCCCAATTCCAAGGCCCATGATCTTTACAAATGGCTTCCAGGCTCCATTTTCCATTTTCTCTTTCTTTTGCGGGGTGGGGGTGGGGTGGGGGTGCGGGGCAGTGGTGTTGGCTACAGTGAAAATGTACTTAGGATGTTACTTCTATCATGCCCAGCTTTATCATAAAGGGTTGGAACTTCAACCTTGACCTTCAACTATCACACTTCCTGCTCAACAAAGACAAAGGCAAGTTGCAAGCTGCATTCCAGAGCACAGAACTATTATTTATAGAAAAACAATTTGTGATTTTGCCCTCACGCACTACTATACATTTCAAACAAAACCTGTACCCTAAAATACTTTCTGTACATAAAAGCCAAGCCACCTGTTTGCAACCTGATTTGTTGCTGTTCAGTCACTAAGTCGTGTCCAACTCTTTGCCACCCCATAGACTGTGACCCACCAGGTTCCTCTGTCCTTCACTATCTCCCAGAGTCTGCTCAGATTCATGTCCATTGAGTTAGTGATTCTGTCTAGCCATCTCACCCTCTGCCACCACCCTCTTCCCCTTTTGCCTTCAGTCTTTTCCAGCGAGTCAGCTCTTCACATCAGATAGCTAAAGTATTGGAGCTTCAGCATCAGTCCTTTCAATGAATACTCAGGGTTGATTTCCTTTCGGATTGACTGGTTTGATCTCCTTGCAGCCCAAGGGACTCTCAAGAGTCTTCTCCAGCACCACAGTTTGAAGGCACCAATTCAGCGTTCAGCCTTCCTTATGGTCCAACTGATTAGGAAGAAATAAACCAGGGACCAAAGGTCAACCTAAGCAACCCTGACTAAACTCAAGGGTCATCACAGTGTGACCCTGCAGGCCAATTCTGCCAAGAGAAACCAAGACCTACCCCAGCAGTGTGACCAAGTGTGATTGTGGCTCAAGTGTAGATACATCCATGTAGATTTTTCCTTCTCCTAAGGTAGCAATCTCTATGTCCATGATGATACATATTCCACTGGGCCTTGCAGATGATACCAAAATGACATAACCTCATCAAGAACTTTCTAGCCTATAAACGAGAGGCTTGCCTTCAAGTCGGTGTAAGATCTATAGTTGAATTTTCAGTGAGTCTATTCCATTTGTTTCTAATTCAGTAAGAATGACACTCATCACAATTGGTTTTCTCAGCTCTTCAATCCTCATTTTCACATCATTCTATTATTCTCTCATTTCATCACTGATCCTTTATTGAACTCATATTTTCACTAAATTACATAATACAAAGCCTTCCCAGAAAATTTTCTTTAGGGTGGTTTTTCCTCCCCCGCCCCCCCAGACTGGGTTCTTGGTTGTGTGTGCCTGCTTTCCTGCCTTCCTTTGTTTTGTGATGTGATAGCGTTGATTTGCATCTTCCTCCATTTAAACGTGGGTGCTCCCACCCAGCAAGTTTGCACTTGCTGACGTACAGTGAGAGCGTATCCACCCTTAGTTTGGGCACTGGTTGTGGGATTTCTGTACTTCTGCCTTGGCCACCATGGTCCATTCTTAGCCAGGCCAGCCCACTAAGATGCCGGATTCTGTCAGTCCTTCTTAACACCTGCAGGGCTCCTCACCTCCTACCTGTGCATTCTGCACACACTTGCCAGGCTCTCCCCCCAACTGTCACGTCTGCCTTGAGGCTCCTAACCCATCTGTGCTCCACTTCCTCACTCCCCTGCCTCAGTCATGTCTCAACTGTCACCTTCTAAGGCAGGCCTTCCCTGGCCTCCGGGCAGTACTAAGCCGACCCCTCAATGATGCCCATCAGACAGCAAGGAGGGGAGGCTGAACACATCATGGGGCCCCCAATTGTGGAGACAATTGGCAGCCCTCCCCTGCTCCTCCCCAGGCCCAGAATACCTTCACCTGTAGATCTACCATTACAGATTTTCTAGTCATTTAACAACTTTATTGAGAATTAACATCCTGTAAAAATTCATCAAATAAGACTCTTTGAGTTTAGCATGTTTAGAGTTGTGCAGCTATCACTATCGTCTAATTTTAGAACACTTGCATCACCCCTAAGGAAATTTCACGCCACTAGTCCCCATTCTTCTCCGTGTCCCCAACCCTGGCAGCCACTGACCTACTCCCTGTCTATAGAGTTGCCTGTTCTGGACATTTAGTTTAATGGAATTGTCAGTATGTGGTCTTTAGGGACTGTCCTATGTCAGTGAACATAATATTTTGGAGTTTCATTCATATTGTATCATGTATCAGAACTTCCTTTTTATGGCCAAGTAGTTTAGTCTATTGTGTGGATATATCACACTTTATTTATCCATTCACCACCTGATGGACAT